TTGGCATTGCTGCTTGCATGGCTGTGAGCAATAGGGATGATGAAGACAACACTTAAAAGAAGTACAGCAAATTTTGGTCTGAAAGTTGTAAATTAAACAGGAAAAAGCCTGTAGCCAGAAGAAAGCATGCAAACTACCTATATTTTCTACTAGAAAGGGGTCTCATCACCACTGTCACTCACACAGAAAGGATAAGAAACCGAAAGTTGTGCTCTACAGCCCGTACATTCCTTTCACACCAGGAACTGACAGACACAGGAGGCCCATCACTTAGTAGCTTACAAAAAATGTCACTACCAGCTACCCGAGCACAACAGCCTGCACTCAAGGCAACAGGTGGGACAGTGTCAAGTCAATTATCTTGACATGGCTGGAAGGGTTTTGACCCACCTCAACTCACACCCTGACCCATTTCCTCTGTTCTGCTTCCTTCCTTCTAATTTTCATAAATAGCTGTAGGAAGAAGTGTGATACCAAGCTGTCTCATAGACCTGAAACAAAATCTTATTTGATTCCCTTTCCTTACCTATTCGTATGTAATGTTCCGAATTTGTTCCTTAAAAGAAGAGATAGTTATTTGTTAGGCAATAGTAGATAGCAAAGATTGTAGTATTTGATAGGAGGGAGGATATTTTCAAATGGATAAGGACTCAAAAATTTCCAAAGTTCCCATTATTTCCACAACTGGTGACACCCTTGCATACTGAATTGCTATCTCAGGAACAGAGTATTGATTTTCAGTGTAAGTCTTTTATGGTACAATATCTCTATCCATGTGCTCTGTTCAGGTGGATGGCCAAGGGCTGTGTGACAACACCAAGAAAGCAGTATTCTCTTCATAACAGAAACAACTGGAAATGAGAGAGACAGGATCAGATGGCAGGACATACTGTAGCTACAAGGAAAATAAGAGCAAACACAACACTTGGCAGTTTGGTGGAGGAGAAGGGACATGAAGAATAGCAGAAATGGAAAAGAGATATCCATATGGACAGCAGTGCTAGAACTTCAATGAAATCACATCTGTGCCTTTCTGGACTTTAAAGGTGAATTTAAGACACTGTCTCACACCAGGCTATTTCTGAAGACAAGAGCTTTGGCTGGGATTTACTTCATTAGACTCTAAATAAATCCATAGCCAGACTGATTTTATCTCTTCCTAAGGCAGATGAGTAAAATAAGTGAGCTACTCACAAGAAGCACTTCTTTTCCCTAGATGCAACAAAAGGAGCCTAAACAAACAGCTAAGATTTAGATGTTGGAATTTAAGAGATGCTAATACTTCAACAGATGTCTACTGGTCAAGGTGATCAAGAAAGTCAGCCAAAAGCAGCAACAGCTAACAGATGGTAAAGATAATAATAGGAAACTTTAGCAAGTTCAGAGGCAAGAGGGTGTAAAGACTTGAGTATAAAGTCTAATGAGGAACAGAGGAACAGAAGCAGCACATCTAGATTTCTAAACAGATACCCATTCCTGAATGATGAAATTGCCCTAGGAAAGCAGGTTTGGGTAGAAGGACCAAAGCAGAGCTAGGAAAATCAATGTCTTTTTGAACTTTTATACTAGAAAGAACACCTTGTGCAGGATTTAGTCCAGTGTCTTGGTGAATTATGATGGATATGGGACTAATACTATGGGGCCTTCATGGAGTCCTGGATTGCCTAAAGTGTTACACTTCAGTCTGATTCTTCTGAATCCATAAACTGTATTGGATAAAGTCAACCCTGATGTTCATTGATCCTAAATACTGGTGGGTAATGCTTTGCTTTCACTGACTCCACAGGTAAAGTCAGGAACCTGGAAGCCTGAAGACATCCTCACCAGTAAAACAAAGCTTACAAAAAGACAGTGAGTGCCTTAGCCCTTTCTGTATCTTTTTTGATTTCCTGCCCCACTGAGCCCGAAGCAGGTAGCTTTCTTTGCTTTCCTTTCAGTGCCAAGTAAAATGCCATAGTACTGATCACCATGATAGGCAGAGCTGCACATGAATTTACCCCATAGACAGATAAGCAAATATTTTAGACACAGTTGTTCTCTGAAGAGTAACTATTTTCATCTACATGTTAATGTATGCTTTAACCTGCATGTTTTTATGCTCACTCTGCATGTCTATGTTTGTATGTTTAATCTACATGCTTTAATCTACATATTAATGCATGCAATATTAATGTTTCCATTTAAGAGATGGGATTGTGCTTATTTTGCCTCTGTTAGCAAGACTGACAGTCCATTTTTTGTTAGATAAAACCAGGTGTTATAACTCTTGTATTCCATGGATACATAAAAGACCTCATTTAACTTACAAAACTGTTTCGTATTCATCTTGACATATTCAGGGAACAACTCTAATTTATAGATTATTACAGATGAAAGGGACGATCATGTGCAGTCTCACCTCCTGGCCAACATAAGTACAAAATTCTTCTTGATAATACCAGTATCTCATCTATATCTTGTACAAAAGTTGCAGCATTTTTCCTGCTCTAGAGAGCCATCAGTCTTGATTTATGAGACACAATATTCCCACACCAGAACCAGGAAGTTGCTCAAGTGCTCAGTTACCATCACCCAATGTACTTGATCTCTAGAATGTATGCATTTATCTTCTGTTTGCAGTGTCATGTTTTAATATGAAACCTTTCCCTGGCTTCTAGGGCCCAGAACAAGTGGCAAGGCTTGTGGATAATAAATGACTTGAATTGTTTTTTCCCTACTAAGGTAAAAAATGAATCCCCACAATGCTATTAGCTATTCCTTAGCCAAAAAAGAACCCCATACAGACAAACAAATAAGAAATGAAATAACATGCTAGCTCAGCTACATCAGCTATGTTACACTTGTGTAATAAAGAGAGGGGGAAGGAAAGAATTCTCAAGATCAACATAGAACCTCACCTTTTTCTGCTTTTTCCACAAACTCTAAACACTGCGGCAGCTGAAATGCTTTAGGAGAGTATCCAAACACAAGGTGATGCTGAAGCCTCAGACTAAGAAAAACTATGCATTTGTGTACCTCTAAACAGTAAGTACCTCAAGAAGTTCTCTATAAAACCCTGCTGGTAGCTATAGCAACAGAGTTCACTGTATTTTTACCAGAAAGCATTTTTTAAAGCTACTGAAGAAAGTACATTTTTCAGCCATTATTTCCCTATCTAACTTCCAGGCCTTTTGACGCAATCCTGATCTCCATTCAGCTTCCACCCTTCTGCTGCCACTTAGCATGCATGGCATGCGAGTTGCTGGGGTGACTCCCAAATTCAGGGAAGGAATTTTCGCTCTAAAACCCAGCCGGCTTCGATCTACGCTGCTGAACTGTGGCTTTCATTTTGCCATGCCGGCACAAACACATCTCTCAGGCAAATTGGGCACCTGAGAATTACACTTAAAAGCAATAACTGGTGTAAATCCCAAACCACTCAGATTTATGGGAAAAGAAATAATGTCTAAGAACCCTAAACTGTTAGATCTGGAGAAATACTTGCTGTGTGAGAAATCTGGTCTTGCTGCATTTACTTACTAGCAAGAGCTGTAAAGCAACAGTATTTCAACACTGCTTGGGATATGAAAGCTTTAGAGAGCCACTGTACTTAGCTCATAAATTACACCTTTCCATGGCACAGATTTCTGTATATGTTTGGCATCATACAGTACAATAGCCATGTTTGACATTTGAAAGGGATTTTCCAACCCCCTGTGGAAATATCTATGTGAGTCCAGATGATAGAGCTGCTGCTTTCCTGCATTAATATCAACCACCTGAGCAGAAGACTGCTGTGGGCTTAACCCCTCTCTGGTGCTCCTATCTGCATTGAACCCTAGCTTTGACTCTCAGGTCCAAGAGATAAGTGTTCTAGCTCTTATGAGCTGCATGGAACAGATAAAATATTGGAAGCATGATATAGGTCTTTAGTCTTGATACAGACCTTCCACTTCTGAAGTCTGTGGAAGAGTGTTTGTCAGAGCAAATGGCAAAGCATATCTGCTCTTGCACCCCTTCTCACTGACAACAGACCACTTCTTGCTTTTCCACACCACTGCATTAGTGTGATGTAGTGATTCATTTATTCACATGTAGCAGCTTGTCTAACTTGACGATGACTTCACTAACTATCAAGAGTTCACCAAAACCCACACAAAAATCCGTCACAGCATGCGATTAGATTTCTTCTAAAAGCTTTGCTTTGGAAGAGTTCCTATAAAAGGTGGTCCATTACTTTTATAAAGCATTCAGTTATATCCACAGAAATGACACCGGATAGCCATGAGACCACTGTTTTACCTGGTTTTGCATACCTCACAGGTGAAGTCCCTGTAAGGTTGAATGCATTAGAAGACAAAAAAAAAAACAATGTTAAAACCTATAATAAAGGTTTTAGCATTGGGACTTTTGATGTCCCCCTTAAGCTAGAACAAAGGTATCTGCAATTCAATGTAACAGAAATACTAACTCTTCTGTCACACATTGCTGTGATGTTATCACTAATATTATTCAACATTCCAATGTATTAAAGAATTATGATACCTGGAAAATATTCACAAGTTGTCATCTTGTTCCTAATAACATCCTAGAGGCAAAAAGATTTCTCTTCCCCACATACCAATGTAAACAGTGTCAGCTTTATGAATCCTGCTTGTGAATTACATCAGGAGGACTCAGTTTCATTGGCAACAATTCAAGAACAGGAAAGTCAGGACGGTGAAATGGCTTCAAAGGAACATGAGTTATTGGAAAGATCATGCAAGTGCAGGCTAAGTATTCAACCTTAACACATTTCAGTTTCATCACATTCCAAATAGCAGGAATCAATTATTTTTTTGTAGCAGCAAATGTCTGGTATCTCAGAGCCTGACTCCATCCTGATGTGCAGCTGCAGCTCTTTGTGTTACTCAAAAAGACAAATCAAAACCAACACCAAAACAAACCCAAGGCTCTGTGGAACTACAGAAGTGCAAAGCATGAATAAAGCTGCACAGACCCTGATGCTGAGGCTCACCCACCTTTTTGCAGAGGACAGGCTTTTGAAATAAATGTTCCCAAAGCATTTAAATCCATTCAACAGTTAGTATAAGGCAACTCTTAATGAGAGACTTCCCTTCAACCACAGGTTATAAATAGGAGCATTGCCTTTGCCTAGTGTGAATCTCACAGCGAAGGGAGCATTCCTAGTGGAAATGCAAAGATTTATTCTAGGATTGGATTTTGTTATCCCATTTCTCATCTCAGGAAAAGAATGAGCGGAGGCAAAAGTGGTTTTCCCATCACATGGCTCTCAGCCACATTAAGACCTACCTTATTTCTGAGTTCTGTCCCATGCAGAGGAATGCATTTCTGCAGGCTACAGCCCTGCAAGAAAACAGGCAGGGACTGGCAGGATGTGGGCAGAACTTGGGATCTACTCTACCCCTCCCAGGGACCAAAGTAGCCTCACAGCCACCACAAATGCAGAAGAGAAGGATGGTAACGAAGGGCTATCCCTGCTGCGGTGCCTCCCATGATTACTGCTTGGGCAGCGTCTGCCTTCACCTCCTGCCTGGCCCAGGGCAGCGCACAGGCACTTCTTAACATCCCTTTTATCTGCAGACAGATACACCAATCTCTGTGCTGGTCCCAGTATCGGGAATACACCAGTATTTACAGATACCCATTTAATTCAATTTGCTATCTGGCAATCAGAGGTCAGTGGCTTTTACGCTGTGACTTGAATTATTTCCTGGTGCCATCTCTAGAAAGGATATTGCCACCTGCTTTTGCTATAGAGAGCAGCCTGAGTGCATTAGTTTTCCATTACTTGTCATGTACATATTTTAAAAACAGATTTTTCACCATTTTAAACATACATATTTTGACAATTATTGAAAGCAATTTACAAGTCCTGCATTTTTAGTACTTCAAGTGTTCCTACTGAACTCATCACATCATTGGAAGCCATCGCAGAGATTTTGGGTTTAAAATATCACACCCTGAATGATGTGAATCAGAAGTGACCACAGCCTTTGCTATCTCTGCTGATTTAGTAACACAGCCTCCAGAAAGATCAACGTTCAAACAATCCCACTGGTATCTCAGCACACCTCTTAGTGGATTAAAGCACTCCATATTTTTTTTATTGGGATGACAGAATCTGCCCCTAAATAAAGACACCATGGTAGGAACCTCAATAAATTGGGAGTCATTTTCCACTTAAGCCTGTGTAACAATAAACATGCTGCTGAAGCCTTAAATCATATAATCATAGAATAGTTAGAGTTGGAAAGGACCTTAAGATCACTAAACCATGTCACCCAAGGCTCTGCCCAGCCTGGCCTTGAATACTGCCAGGGATGGAGCATTCACAACTTCCCTGATAATCATGGCTAGTGACAAAGCCCTTCTTAGACCTCATGGATTTGTTCCCAGAAAACACTAAACCTACAGGAAGGATTGCATTCATTTTCCTATCTCTATTTCACACTCTGTTCAGACATTGTTTAAACCATATCCTAAAGAATTGATTTTTAGTTCAAGAAAGCATCAACGTGAACAAGGTCAGAGGCTTTTCCCAAAGACAGACAACGATGGAACCTGGAAAAGACATCTATATCTGAAGTATAGAGTTGGATATAAAGTAATCCCTGAGTTCCCATTCATTCAGAAAATCTAGTTATTTTCATTCTACTAACTTTCCTTGTTAAAAGTTTGGGATCTCACAGTCTGCAACATAGAAATGGGCACTGAGAGATGCAAGCTGCTGGTTTTATACATGGCATCAAAGGAAGCAGGATTCATTAAGATGCATTTTCAAATGCATCTTAAAATATTCACTTCAGTGGCACCATTGATGGAAGATTTAAGTGTTTCAAATGTCAGGCTACTTTTTTTATGTAATAACATATGGGTACCCTATTTCTTCTTTCTCCTAGAAAACGATAGCACAACCCATTCAAAATCTGCCCCCAGTATCTAATACTTGACAACCTCCTTTTGCAAATAATGGCCTTTAATTCCCATTCTTACCACTTTTGTTGTGGCACATAACAGAGTGATTTTGTACCCCAGGGGATGAAATCCATAGCCTTTTGTGATTGTTTGACATCTTCAAGAAGGCCATAAGCTTGTCTTTTTATGATAAATCATGAGCTAAAAAGGACCATCTCCAGTAAAATACAAGACTGCACAATTCTTAGGACTGAAGGACAGTGCTGTTTCGATGTGAATCAAGTGGTTTTTAAAAGGACAAAACAAGCCCAGTAATCACCCATACATGTAGGAAGAAAGCTCTGCCCTTGGCAGTAGGCAATGCACTTGAAACTGCGAGAGAAGCATTAACTGCTGAGAAATGACTCTTTAAAACCCACTAAGACAATATGGATCTAGTGTAAAACCTGTGAGACCCTCCTGGTCACTCCTTTACTGCTCAGGAGTCTGAGTGCTGCTCTTGGCATTGTCACATTCCCAAGCAATCTAAGAACCTATGGAGCAGATGTTTTCAGGAAGAAAGGTGAGTTAGTCAGTGAATAAACCCAGGCAGATGGTGGGACAAATAGGGGTAGGTTGGACAAATCCATTTCCCAAATCTTCTATTAGCTTGCTTTAGTCTCCTGAATTGTAACTGTGTGGACCCTTGCCTCAGATCTCGTTTCAGTCATGGTCCCTGTTACAGCACCTGGGGGATTATTTGCAGGGAGCAGTTTAAAGTCAGGCTCTGCCCTATAGAGATACCCATGGTTTACCTGCAGTAGTTCCTCCAAGGTTCTCCATCCTGAGTGAGCCTTTGAAAGCGTTAAAATAAAATGACCCCTCATCTGATCTTCGGGGTGCCACCATCCCCGCAAGTCTTTCATCGAGATATGTCTCCCAGCAATATTCTGTTTATGAACTGAGTTAGAAACTGGTCCTGGAGGGATTAGAAAAGGGTTATAACCAGGCTCTTCACCCATCACCTGGTGTTTAAAATGCCAGTTTTTAAGTCAGGGTCTTGGACATGGAAGGTTTTGCATTAGTTTACTGCAACAGAGTGGGAATTACAGTCAGTCCAGCAGTCCAAGTGTTGTACCAAAAGGAAAACTTTCCTCTCCCATATTATCTGTGCTGTGACAGGAGCAAAGGGTGCTCTGTTTACCAGGCAAGATCCTTGTGCTGAAAGGGTTTACAATCTAACAGAGAGGATTTCACAAATCCCCTGAGTACACAGCCATAGAAGATTTTAAAGGAGTTAATAGCCTCCTCACACTTCCCATTCTTCTGAAGAGTAGTGAAGGAGAACAACTCTCCTATCAGCTTCACAGCCATCCAATACAGCATCATGTCATAGAATAGAAAAGGGATTGTCACTTATCATCTGAGCAGGCAAACATGTTAGCTAAACAAGAAGAGCTGGTAATGAAGCAGAAAAGTTGTATGCACAATGGCATGGTTCCTCCCACCCAGGCATGGATCAGGAGTATGCGTAATAATGTAATTTGATTGAGAGACTACATAGATAATCCATGCTCTGCAGAGCCTCGTAAAGAAAAACCAGAATTTATCAACATTATCCCATTGATAACAGGAATAGTGAAATTATCATTTAAGTGTCTGTTTCACAGGAAGTTGTCACCATGTTCTGGGAATTAGTTTTGCTGAAAGGTTTAAATGCAAGAGAAACACTGTCTTCATGTCAGTATTGTCTTAAATTGGCAACAAGGGGTAACTAAATCAACACAAAGGATAGTATTCCCCAAAGCCAGTGTAATCCGTCCTCTTGCATGGGCCCTGGAGAAGAGCATTCTTAAGATACTGTGCCTTCCAACAGTCTGATACTTCCTATATCATCCATACATAGAACATAGAACCATAGAACAGTTAGGGCTGGAAAGGACCTTAAGATCATCTAGTTCCAACCCCCCTGCCATAGGCAGGGACACCTCACACCAAACCATATCACCCAAGGCTTCATCCAACCTGGCCTTGAACACTGCCAGGGATGGAGCATTCACAGCTTCCCTGGGCAACCCATTCCAGTGCCTCACCACCCTCACAGGAAAGAATTTCCTCCTTATATCCAATCTAAACTTCCTCTGTTTCAGTTTTAACCCATTACCCCTTGTCCTATCACTGCGGTCCCTAATGAAGAGTCCCTCCCCAGCATCCCTGTAGGCCCCCTTCAGATACTGGAAGGCTGCTATGAGGTCTCCACGCAGCCTTCTCTTCTCCAGGCTGAACAGCCACAACTTTCTCAGCCTATCTCCATACAGGAGGTGCTCCAGTCCCTGATCATCCTCATGGCCTCCTCTGGACTTGTTCCAACAGTTCCATGTCCTTTTTATGTTGAGGACACCAGAACTGCACACAATACTCCAGGTAAATGATGGAGCGCTTAGCTACATGACATCACTGTCTCACTGCATATGTCCTGAAAGATCCTAGATCTGATACCTGGGATAAAATTGGCACATTGGCCTGCTGCAACTATTGCAGACCCTCCCATTCACTCTAATCACTAGTTTTAATCAATACAGAACTTTTCTGCAGTGCTAATTTATTGAAAGAGATATGCCACTGACTCTTGGTCAACAGCCATGATCCCCCCCCAGCAATCCTGTGGGGACTGCAGTCTTCATAGTTAACTCTACTGAGTGATGCTCTGAGGACTTATTGATATTATGGTGATTCATCTGACCAAATAGAGAGATTTACAGTGTGTTTGTATCTGAATAAACCACCTACCAGCCCTTTACAATCCATAGAGAGGAACAGACACTTCTTGGCATGCAGCTAAGGGGACAAACAGCAGTGTTTAACATAAAATTGTTCCTCCTTATTTTTGGTGGTTTGCTTGGGGTTTTATTTCTTATGAATCTCGAAGACCTACAAAGCTGCCAGGAACTCCTCCAACTTGGGATACAGACTTCCCAAAACTCATTGTACCTACAAGCTCCCTCTGTGGCTTCCTTGTCTGGCTAGGACCTACCTTATGGGTTATTACCTTCAAAACTTATCTCCTTTTGAGACAGACACGGAGCATGGAAATGACAAGAAATGGAAGTAAGGGTAAATAGTTTTAGGCTGTATATCATAGCAGTGGAATCTGGGATAAGGGTACTTTATATTCTTCATCTGTTTTGCTGTGTGCTATCAGTCTTAGCTCAGCAACTGCTGAAGGGAAGACAATTCCTCTTTATACACAGCTTGATCAGATTTCTCCAACTTCTTCCCTGTGTCAAAACATCTAAAATTAGTACTTAATGTTATAGCCCACTCATAAATGCCACAGCCCTCCTGGGGTCATGGCCCATAATCTGGGAACAGCTACTAAGGCATGTTAAGGGAAAAAGGATGTTAAGGGAAGAAAACATGACAATAGAGATACCTACTGAAAAGGAAACAAAAAGTCAAAGGCAGCAATAAAAAAGGCTGAACAGTGAATTAAAAAGGAGAAAAAGAAACTACTCAGAAATACACAAATAACTTGACTGAAAAAAAAAAAAAACAAAACCAAAAACAGAACAGAAAATGCACTCAGTAATAAACCCAGGCGATGGCAAAGAAAGAAGCAAAAATAAACCCAGGTGTAAACCAT